TTAGGTTGGAGGCCATCGCTATTAGGTTGGAGGCCATCGCTATTAGGTTGGAGGCTATCGCTATTAGGTTGGAGGCTATCGCTATTAGGTTGGAGGCTATCGCTATTAGGTTGGAGGCCATCGCTATTAGGTTGGAGGCCATCGCTATTAGGTTGGAGGTTATCGCTCTTAGGTTGGAGGCTATCGCAATTAGGTTGGAGGCCAGCGCTCTTAGGTTGGAGGCGATCGCTATTAGGTTGGAGGCCATCGCTATTAGGTTGGAGGCCATCGCTCTTAGGTTGGAGGCCATCGCTCTTAGGTTGGAGGCCATCGCTCTTAGGTTGGAGGCCATCGCTCTTAGGTTGGAGGCCATCGCTCTTAGGTTGGAGTATATTCTATGGGTCTATGGGTTTCTTCTGTTTTTGTTTAGTAGCGTCCTTGCTCTTAGTAGCGATGCCCTTTGCTCCCAGTAGCATCCTTGCTCCTAGTAGCGATGCCAGGAGCCCCTAGTAGCGTCCTTGGAGGTCCCAGAGAAGTTGGATGAACTGAGGCTTTCTGACTGGACTGGGTTGACTGCAGTCAGGATTCGAAGCCGGGCGAATCGCGGTGACACTGACAACATCTGACCATGATGAATGCATTTACCGGTGATGTACCACTTGTTTGGATTCAGTGCTGATGGCTGTCTCGAGCTCATCCCACGGCAAAGGCTTTTTCCTGCTCCCTTCGGGCCCTCAAAACCGGCTTCAAACAACTCTGTATGGTATTGCGTGGTCAATGAATGAAGGTCGGATGGCCAATCTATACTACGCTTTCCTATTCAAAGCACTTCCAATTGCAAACCAATTGAGATGGTCGTCACCTTGCTGATGCTTTGTGTTGAATTGTAAACTATCCAGGGTCCCTTGAGATTCGTCGGCGACACCTGCCTTGTCTGAAAAGTACTTCTTCACCATGCCACTTCGCATGATGACAGCAGCAGAGGCATCCAAGCTCCAAGTCACTGCTCGAGCCTTCTGTTTTTTTTCGTCCCATTCGGTCTCCTCACTGGACCATTGCAGGCTCCATGGCAACCAAAATGATTCCAAACGTTACATATACTGTAAGCCGAGCTCCCCCCGGCTGCTTTTAGGGCGACGGGGGGAGCTTCCTTGAAGAAGCGTGAGCTATCGTGCTTCCTACCTATAAGCTAACTTAGCCGCCCTTATTTAATTAAGTAGGCGCCTACTCAGCGGGCTAAAAAATCCCCGCACATGTCACAACGCCCTTCGAACACCGAGCCACAAAGGTCACCTTCTCTCCCCCGCGAAGATTGTCAGCATCACCAGTAAACTGCAGCGTATGCGCAAAGACATCTGGGCTACCTTGGAGCATCAACGTCCTCTCGCAAGCCCCCTTGTACAGTCATGCGTCTCCTATGTGGTACAGTCATCTGCCACAAACCGACGCAAGACTATCCGTTGGCTGTGAGTGTACCTGCACATCCTAAACTAAGCCTTTCTAGTTTGCATGTCGAAGTCGACATCGCTACTTACTATGTTGGAGGCCATCGCTATTAGGTGGAGGCCACTGCTATGAGGTTAGAGGCCATCACTCTTAGGTCTTAGGTTGGAGCAAAGTCTAGTGTTTTCTTTTTCTACCCCAGAGAAGTTGGATGTCGACAGAGCTGGCCAACTTGTCGCCCAATTGTCGACAGAGGAGCCATCATCAGGTGAAATGAAGCCGAAACCCTTGTCAGGCACGAACTTCTTCAATCTCCCCACGGGCATCAGCGACCGAAGTCCCACAGCGAAGATGCCATTGCATCTTGAATATCCATGTTTTGAGCAAAGCTGCAGCGATTGTGGTGCAGAATGCCATGCACACTGCACAGGCGACCACTAAAACACCACCGCCAGCTGTGACTAGTCTCTTTCCACGTTGGTTCCAACTTGGCCCTACCTGCTTCAAGCACCCTGTGCAAGGATGCAAATTCAGCTGGCCTACTTTCCGATCAACTCCTGCCACGCCCCGCCACGCGTGCGCACCTCCACGTTTCCCCAAATGCTCCTGGCCACTTCTGACCAACAAACACTTGCTACATCTTGCTGAAATCCTTTGAAAATGTCCAGATTCTTTGACAAATGTTGTGATGATCTTTGTTGAAGGCAACCTCATTGAGACGTAGGAGGATGTAGCATTGTTTAAACCGAGCCATTTGCGTCGGGCTGCTTAAAGCTTGCTCGAGACTCGAACTGTCTCTACCTGTTGTTTCACATCTTCTTCCTACTACTCATTGCTCGGGTGATTTCTTTTAGATCACAGACCAGGAGAACTCTCGGAAGCCTCCAAGAGAAAGGTCCGATGGAGAGCCAAGCGTAGAAACCGCTCGGCCTCACGGAAGTTAAGACATGTTAAGACTCTTAAAAGACTACAGCCACCCAAATGCTATCCAATGCTTGGAATTCAGACTTTTAGATCCACTGCAGTCACAAGTTGTTCGCAAGCTAAAGTGTTGTGAAATGGCAAGGGTATCCTCCAAACTCCTATCATGTCAAGGTGCTGGTCAAGATGATAGCTGATAACTATACAGTACAGTATATGGCTTGAGACTTGAGACTGTCATTTTTCCGCTCTCATCTAAAGAGGTGAGGACATCGCAAAGGCAGAGCTCCTTGCTGCCCTTTCACCACATTGATTCTTTTAACAAGGAACATAGGCGAGGTTCACAGGCTGGCTTGTCAAATTCCGAGAACTTTGCCCCACAGTGCCGACTGCCCTGCTGCCCTGCTACGTCCACAGTCAGTAGGGCCCTGCAAATCACCTTGCATGCTCGCTGCACCTGCAGTATCTCACGGGGCCATAGCGCCACCATGCGCCACCATGACTCCTGTGATTTGGAGATGGGGTTAGATGTTGTCCTTGAGATCCATGGCGAATTCTGGAAAGGGCTCCTCCAGACACATCGTGTCAAGGACCATCGCCAAGTCATCTAGTCCACGCGAAAGTCCCCACAGATCACCAGATCTGTCAATCTCTGGACACCCAAACCCGGAGATCAAAAGAGCCACTGAATGTAGCTCATCGCCCAGAAGCTTCCAAAAGCCTGAGGGAACTTAGAGCTAGTGTAGTCAAGAACGCAGAAAGTGCGGTCAGGGATCTTGAAGATATTCCACGATGTTGTAGCATTCAAACACCATCATTCCAGATATCCAATATCCCAAATCCTCACCATCATCATGATCACCGTTTTGTCAACATCCGCACACGGTATGTCGCATGTGTCATGTTGTCTCTCATGCTACTGTAGGTGAATCTTTGACCTCTGTTGTGCCTTCTGAACTTTGCAAACACGTGAAAACTTGATATGTGCGTAATGGACGAACACGGTCGTGTGTAAATATAAGCACTGGAAGAGAACACAAGAATCACTGATCACATTGTGCCGATGTGTTGCTCCAAACGCCAAGACCAGCTGCAGTGCCCAGCCAATACGTCAAAATCTTTGGAGAGATCACACAGCTGACATCCAGCAAGGGCACCGTCCACCAAAGATAGCCTTTCCATCAAGCTCACCCCTGAACTTTCGAGCTCTTGAGGGGAAGAGGGGACCTCGAGTCACCCATTCCGGAAGTCAAAACAGCATGCCATTACAAAATCCTTTGTTCCCGAAAACCTGAAGTAAACAATCCTGACTGCCCAAGGTCTTCAGGCTGTTCAGGCCCTTTGACGCCTTTCGGACACAAATCAATCACACCGTTGAGCCGTTGTTCGTGTGGCACCTGCCAGGCGCAAGGGCCGTTCCAATGCCGTGCCCTGGAGGTCCACTTCCATGCACTCCCACTCCTGGATTGCGAGATTTAACATCATGACATGTGCCTTCGCTCTCCAACTGCAATTTCATGCAATTTCTATCTTCAAGATTCCAGGCCCCATCTGGCATCCAGGAAGCAGCCCTGGACTGGTCGTCTAATTAGCGGCATGGCTCACACGTTTCAAGCTGACAGGATGACTAAAGAGATCTCTGAAAGTGCGACACTGGTTTGGAATCAAACCAGCATTGGCCAGCATAGGCCAGCAGGGTTGGCTCCTCATCTGAGTCGTAAAGCTCCTCCATCGCGGGCTGCCTGACTTGGAGCACACCAACTTCAGGTTCCTTGACACGACTTCTGTGTTCTGAATCAATACATGCTGTTGAATTGCTCGTGCACGCCTCAGCAAGTACGGCGAGATGCTGAGGCAAACGATCGTTCCTGGAATCAAGACCCAAAGAAAGAGCAGCCCCGGAATCAGAGTCGATGCCAGTACAATGCTGTATGGCAAGCTCAACAGGGTGAAGCATACGGCAAAGGCCTCAGGTGTTGAGTGACACAGCAATAAGATGCAATTCTAATTTGGAACTCGTATCTTTGCGATTCCTTTTGCCATCCTTCTTCGTCGTTGGGCTGTTTTTGTCTCCCTGCCTTCAGGGAAAAATGCTCCCTCAAGGTGCAAATTCGGGTGGCACGAGCCAGCTCAGGGCTCAGTGCTAACGCCAAGATCACCGACAGCCTGGGATGAAAAGTTGAAATCTAGAACTTTCTGAAAGCGTAAAGGACACAAGGACATTGTGAGATCACTTCAAAACATTGTTGCTAGTAGGTTGGAGGCCATCGCTAGAAAGGCCATCGCTAGTAAGGCCATCGCTATTAGCTTGGAGGCCATTGCTATTAGCTTGGAGGCCATTGCTAGTAGGCTGGAGGCCATTGCTATGAGGTTGGAGGCCATTGCTACGAGTATTATAGGTTGGAGGCCATTTCGATTCGGTTCCTTTTGCTATTAGGCTATTAGGTTTTCAAATGGCCCTTTGCAGCCAATGCACCAGGTCACGCTGCTCTTCGAATTGGGGCTCGCAGAAAAGAGGCGTGAGATGCAAAGAAGATTCTGGAGCACAGAAAAGTCACCTGCCGGAGCAAGGGTGGTGTGACGCAGTTGGGCGTCTGGCCATCCTTTTTTCAGAGCATAGTACAATAAATTAATACTTGGCCCTACCATCCTACGCTTAAGCATCGGCCTGCATGTTCCAAGTACTCGTTTAACATGGCACCATCGATGACCTCGCATCTTGTCTTTGCACATCCACCAGCTCAATAACTCAGACTCAGGTCAAGCAGCCAACTGCCATGCAAACCCTAAGGATTTGTAGACCAAATAGATCACCTGCCAGGCAACAGATCCAGTTTTGCTATGTAGCAGCTGAGTCACCCCCACCTTGAAGCTAGATGGCTTTGGCGCACTCTCTGAGTCGCTAGAGTCCGCGCTGGCAAGCGGCAAGCAGAGCGGTGGGCGGTGTGTGGTTTCAAGGGAGGTGCACAGCAAGTGCTATCACTGAATGACTCTCGTCTGGTTTTAAACAGTTGTGCAAGAAATGACTTCAATGGATGCAATACCAATGTGAGTGTGCCCTGGCAAGAAACGAGTAACTGGAGGAACCAAAGAACACAGGCAGACAGGCAGGCAGGCAAGCGAGCAAGCGAGCAAGCAAGCGAGCGAGCAAGAAAGCAAGGAAGCATGGAAGAAAAAGAACGGTCCAATATACATATATATATATAATACATATCCAATAAAAGGCCTTTACAAAAGGTCTGAAGGCATTCTCCTGATTATGTTGTTTTTTCCCCTTTCTTTCCTCACCATCAGTTTCTGGTGAAATCTTGGCACCTCGGCTGGGCCAAAAGGAGCCACACCTGCAGCAGGTTCAGAAGAACACCGCCTCACGGAGCTCAACTGTAGTGAATGATTTGCCTCATTCCTGACCAAGTTTTAAGTCCTTGGAAATGAGTGTCTTGAAGCTCTTCTCATCTTACTCATCTTCGAGCAACTGGGACCCGATTCGATAAATCTATGAACCGAAAGCCTCGCAGGTGACTGGTTTGAACAAGCTTGAAGACATGTGGGCTACACAACTTCCGTTCCGCCTTGGACGACGTACCATGGTACGGGTGAAAGATGCTGGAAAGTGCTGTTGGCAGAGCAGGTAGTGTACCAGTCCTGGGGCTTGAACAAAGGCAGCTGCTGGCCACGATTTGAAGATAAGAAGCAGAACAGTATGATTGACCCTAGAGTCTCTTTATCCTGACAGGCAATGCATGAGTGATGGACAAAATCTCTGGCTTGAGGGACCTCTTATGGGGACGGTCAGGGTCGGCCCCCGTCCACTTTCCATTTTGAACCAACCAGGGGGCCCGACCCAAACCATAGATTTTGTCCTATAAGTATGGTGGCACGCGGATTTAATGGTCTCTTTGGACCTCAACAGCAGGGAAGTCTTCCCAACTGAACTGCCAGTACCGGTCTCCACGCCTGGCATCAGGCCAAGCATCTTGCATCAACGTCGCTGGCTCCGTCCAACCGCACGTGGGTCATGGGGGGATCAGAAGCGTCTATTGATGTGCGGTGGCCGCGAAGCCCAAGCGCCAACTATCACAAAACAGGTCTTGTCCATGTTTCGAAAGTTGTGCTTGGACTTTGATACTTTATGTGTCTCCAGTTTACAGCAGCCCACACACTCTGCTCGACAGACCTTCACATGATGTGCCTCTGAACGTTGCTAGAGAGAATGGCGGGCAGCTGATGTTCATGTTGCCCAGTACAAATTATGTGTACATAAAGTATACACTAGTGCCAAATTTCAGTACTTCATCTGAGAGCAGCAAAACGAAATGAAAAGAGCTTGGGAATCCATTGCAAAAGGACGTGTCTGTTGTTGAACTGGCCTTTGAGTCGAATGTCATCATTCCACTTTGGTAAGTGGCTAAGCTGGGTTGATTGATCTGCTGGAATGACCACGTGTCGCCGTGCCCCACTTTTGCGAGAAACCATGAGCGCAGAGCGTCTAAAGGATGTCAGTTCAGTTGCAAACATCCTCGGTTCTATATAGTCCCTGATGGGACTTAGTCTACATATTGAAATGCGAAACAGTGGCCTGCATCTGCCAAAACCACATCCGACAGAGTGCGGCTGCTTTCTGCCACATCAATGCCAGGCAAGGTCTTGCATGCCCGTGCGTGTCGAATTCACATGGCTCTCATGGTGTTTCCGTACCTCTCCACCCAAAATCTGTAATGCAAAAGCTCAAGACTAATCAATTGGAAAACATCCCAAGTGAACCATTCCCGGCCTGTACCTGTGCAACAGGGCCATATTAGCCCTACATAATTAAGCGGATCTCTTCTGAGATGGCCAAGTTCAAAGAGCATGCAGCGTGTGTCCACAGGATACAGCGGAAATCACACAGCCCTCAAACGTGGATCTCCTGGAGTCTCCGGTCATCGTCCCAAATCCCGTCATCATCGTCATCATCATCTTCTGTGCTCCCGAAGGTTGACCCGATTGTTCCAACCTCCAAACGAAATCGTGTTGCCAGCAAGTGCTTTGACTCAA